CAGAAATACCCGAAAAATATCCTGGACTGTGGGGAATTGCGAGAAAGCTTTCGATAACATTTCCCTAATAGCACAATCAACTAATTAATCAACCAAACAATTCTCACTTTTTATTCGATGGTTGTCTCAGCCGCGACGCAAATTTCCATAGTTAGATCTAATTTTCACATTTTCTGTCAAGTTTTGGGAAAATGTCCACCGGAACGAGCAAAATTGTGAAAGTGGCCTATGATAAAAAAAGTTTGGGAACCTCTGCGATAGAGTATGTAATATATGAAAAAGTAATGATGTAAAATTTCACTTACATGAAAATGTATAAAATTCTTGGTGTACTTCAAAGTTTCGAGCCAAAACGCTCATCTTATCTCTTCATGAGCAACTGTTCTTTCAAAAATAAAGTGAAAATTGATACTGTGATGTTTCAACAAAACAATTNCATGATACACACAGGTATAGAGTTGTGTACAAATACTGAATGGATTTTAATATTTATTCTAATTTTCAATTTCCATCAGACAATCATCATTTCAATTAGGTTTCATCTGCAGGATATTGATCGCTACTGTTCAGCTTACATAATCTTCCACTATCGAATATTATGGTTGGAACTTAGCGAACTACTTCAAAAAATAGGAAATGCCTATGCAAGAACATATGCTACGTATTCATTATTTATGATTACAAATATAACTGTTGCCGTAAGTATTCATAAAAAGTATGACAAACCCAATCTCATTTTGATTTCTGTCAAATACCAATTTATTTACAAAATTTCGTTATATTTTAGCTCTATGGATTTACTTCAGAAGTCGTCGATCATGGAATAACATTCTCATTTAAAGAAATTGGTCTTCTGGTAGACGGAGTATACTGTTTGGTTCTTCTTTATATTTTTTGTGATTGTTCTCATCAAGCATCAGAAAATATAGCTGGGCAAGTACAATTGTCTTTGCTGAGTATCAGTCTGACTTCAGTTGATTTGGACACCACACGAGAGGTAATACAATATAAAATGCCTAATGTTTAAGAATACGAATACAAAATCAGATAAACATATGCCTTGTATTATGAGCGAGAACAGTTTTTGAACTTTTTTCTTGCTGATTTTTGGGTATATTATCTTCCACAATGTGAAAAGTAAACGAAGCTACATAAATAGAGAA